TTTGTCTCGAAACATCACCGCCCTCGTGGCATGGCCGAGCCATTCGACACGCTGGTTCTGCCACTCGCCATCAATTCGGAAGCAAGCGCTGACAGATCCTCTGGGTCCTGTGGGTCGTGGTGCTCTTGCGGTCTTCGGCTTGGAGGTCTTCTTCGGTGCCGGTGCCGTTTCGTTGAAGCTGAGATACTATTCGTCGCTGAAGTCATCGGCGTCGAATTGCACAGCAGCTGCGGCGTCTGGGGCAAATTGAGGTAGAAGTATACCTTGATCGGAATGCGGCTCGGCCTTGACTGACATGGGATATTCTGCCTTGATGTTGCCCGGGGTGAATGGATTTTAGGGTACCTCCGCATGTGAGCTGGACGCGAAGTGGCCCACCAGTGTCGCGTAAGACGCGCCGGGGAGAGCCGGTGGCCCGCCCTGGAAGCCTGGCCTCACTCCATACACTGCAGCATTCGCTGCCTTCTTGGCCTCGTCCGATTTAGCTGTTCGCGTCGGCGGCATCGTGATGTTTGTGTATCAATTGTGGTCATTCAGGTCGGCAATTCTTGGAGAAGTCAGGCATCTATGTTGACGGAAAGGGAGCCAGGGTGTGCGGATTATTTCAGTTTGATGACAAGCCCGTGTGTTCGGACATTTCGGAACGAATATCCACAATCCTGATGTATTACTCGAACATCAAGTAGGCAGCTTTCAGACAAACAAATCAAATTGCCGATGCTTTAATTCAAAACTCTTTCTCGAAGTAGACTTAGACATAGGGGCACTTCTGCTTCTACGCCGGGTTCCTTGTATGGTTACATGCAGGCACCCGTGCTCGCCGTGATAGGCATGTTAATTATTGCAAGAACCCGTACTACAGGCGGTTAAGAACGGCGATTGAAGCTTAACGTTCTGAATTCAACTCTACCGAGATCGCTTGGTTAGCGCTAAAAGTCAAGACAGCTCGAGCGAAGACAAGAGCGAAGGGCTTATTTGGCATTCAGTATGGGATGTCTCGAAATAGCAGGACGCAGCTACACAAGACGATGTACTAAGAAAATATGGAATGAAGGTATGAGGGTCGCGTCGGCCTGACAGGACATACAGAATAATCTGCGGTGACAGCTTAGAAAGCGCTTGGGGGATCAATGGCTTAAGAGTCACCTTGAGGCCGGCCATCAGGAGAAAGAGGGCAGAAGACGAAGAATATAGGTTGTTGAGAAAAAAGAAACCCTTATGAAACCCTTTCCAAGCTCACGACAGTCACCCATACTGTGATATCGTCGGAACGAGAAAACGAGCAGTATTCAAAGCTGCATGCAGGCTGTGCCATCCACACAAGTAAAGGGCAACACATATCTAGCCAATAGGCGATTGGTAGCTTGTTCAAGTCAATGTCACAGGCACTTATAGTCTCTCCATACTTGAAGCATATGGGATAACATTACTTGCTGCCAGTTTGCAATACGCTCATGTGGCCCCTTGAGACTGATGCGATCCGGAACCTCCCAACCATGTCTCATAACAGACATTTAAAACTTTCTGTGGATGAAGCGATAAAGAGCCGAAGCCAACAGGGATGTCTCGTCCATAAGCTGTCTGACTCGTTGGAATGTAATTAGATTCGTAACCTACGGGCAGCTGCTTCACTCGGCCGCCCACTGTGGTCATATCGTCATTTGATGCGGCACTCGTGGTGGGCGGCCGAGTTTCAGGTATTTGCGCTTGATCGCTCATGAGACTAGTGCAAGCTCTAGGGAGGCGCTCAATGAAGCAAGTTGAGGAAATCTAGACGAACGACCTGATGAGCAACCAATAAATTGAATGAATCAATACAATCTGGATCGAGATAACAAGCCTTATGAAAATCTGCTGAGAAGTGTTTATCCAAAGGCGTGCACAAAAGTGGCCAAATCCCACAATAGGCATCGTAAGGGGCGAACGACATGAGACTGGGGAAATGTACTAACGTCTTCAGGGATTGTGGTCTATTCTCGCTGGACAATTCGCAACACCAGGTACATATAGTGTTGAAAGCGACTGGTAGGAAATATATACATCAACGAGGCACCAACGGTGGACGCATTTCTTGATATGGTTCCTGTGGTCAACGGCAAAGTCCTCCTGGACAAGCTTGACAACTCATTTCTGTCAAGTACACGAAAGTGAGCTGAGAGCCCTCTATTCATCAGTCTTGCGCACTGGCCGGCCTGTAGCACATCCTTGACGACGCAGTGCGCCCACTGGGTATTCATGCCATAGCGACGCGGAGTTAATGACGTCCGAAGGAGTCGCCGAACTAAAATCGTGTCTCAAAAACTTTGACTTTTCCACGATCACTATGAGGACCGTGGACTGTATCAACCTGCCTCGAGTAGTGCTTGAGCTTTGGAAGAGGTTATATATAATACTGTAGAGAACTACTAAAGAAGAGCAGTCTAGTAGCTGACAAGTATCGGTTGCATTAGCCTTTTCACCTCACTCATTCTCTTTCTACCACATTCGCTTCATACCTCATAGACTTACATCGCCGATAACATGAAGTCCACCATTATTTACGCTGCTGTTATGATCTTGTTTGGTACCGCGTCGGCTGTTGAACTAGCCTGCTACGGCACTGGAGTCCCCTCGGCTATCAGAAAGGGCGATATCGAGTACGCCGTCAAGAATCGGTCCGACGAACTAGGGATTCCTGGAGGCACCAAGTTTTCGCTCCGTTGGAAAACTTGTACCGATCCTGAGAACAGTCCTAAGGACGTTGCTTTTATTACAACACCCAGCAGTGAGTGGTCATCTTAGCTTCAGAGATTGCGCATCGCAAAGTTTCTGTTTGTCCCCAGGTGCTTGCGCTCTCTGAACATAGCCCTTGCGAACTGATGCAATCTAGTTACTCGAGAAGGTTCTACTAAGTTAGCCAATGGCGTCGTAGCGTGCAGCTTAGATTCACCCCCAGATTCTAACTGTTAGATGTACCTAGGAGGCGATTTGGGATGCCGTCTTCAGTTTGAACAACAAACAAAAATTGTAGCAGCTCACTTCGAGATATCTGACTAAACATGAATAAATTTTCTGATTGAAAGCGCAACTGCCTATGTCATGATGAATTTAATAATCTTTCGCGTCTTCTGAGACACGTCACACTCAGAGTCGGTGCTAGATTGTGGAAATTTGACACTTACCAGAAGAATCGTCAGTTCGAGGCGACCTCTAGCATGGCTCCAAGATATGGGAAGTAACTGTCAGTGAGACATCATTCTGACCACAAAACGTCTTCCCTTCTGTAAGGTACGCTATGAGAATTTGGCATATCAGGTTTCAGCCCGTCTGCACAAGGATTGATATCCCAGTGCTCTTACGAAGTGCATGTGGATTTATGATTCAGTAATAAAGATAGGAGATTTGCGGACATCTTGACGGGAAAGAGGTTCCCATTAGAGACAAAATATATAATTAAAGTATGGATTGCTTACAAACAGTCACTTGCGACAGGGACAACAGGGGTGGTATTGTGACTGATGATGCGGCTATGATAGCATGATCTCGTGTATCGACGCTTGAAGGTAATGCATAAGCGCTGTGATTGTGTTATTGAGGGTCCCAAATATCTCAGTCTCTGATCCATTTCAGTCGACGTTTGACCTTGATATGCAGGCTGGGCCATTGTCACAGACAAGAATAAGCAACCGACAGACTGCCAATCGGGTTTTATGCCCAGTCCACTGTTGTCCATCGAACCATACGTAGCAGTCCTAACTTGTATTTAGCTGCGTCACAAGTAGCGCTCGTCCTATCGAGACGGGCGGTGCAGATCACAACACTTGACTAGTACTTAAGTACTTACTCTATCTAAGTTGAGCGACTTATCTATTACGAAGTTTAGAGAGCAACCCCGTCATCCAGAACATATTCCAGGGGCTACTTCAAGTGCCCACCTTCATTCGAGATACATGACCTCTCTAATTGGCCTAATAACATGAACGGGCAGAAGAGTATGGGGTTTCAGGGAGATCACCCAAGAGTTGGCATGAGTCCGCATTAGTAGCCAGCTAGACGTTAGGTACAACCGCACAATTCCCTTCATTGGTCTGGCCTAGAGGATTTAGGTCTCAATACAAGCGTCTTCGTAAGCATTGCATTATTCAATACGGGCTGCCGTATTTGGTCAATTTTGTTCTCATTCGAGCAAATGATGACATTTGTGCAAATGTGCGAATTCGAGACATTTGACCTAGGGATTTCATCAGCCGCGAGGGTGAGCCTGTGTCAATAACAACAAACCAACCCCGCCGAAGTATTGATTCAATTGACCCAGCGCCACGGGGTAAGATGCCCATTGGACTCAATTTACCGTCGCGCAGATAAGTAAGCTGATAAACGCCGCTGCGGCCTGCCAGGAGAAAGTAGGGATCGAAGCGACTTAAGCTCAATGGAGAGATACGACGGAGATGAATTACTATCTGCGGAGACTCCCTTGTAGGGCTAGTGCGGCTTCTCCCGATGTGGTGTGTGAGCCGTGGGAGCTCACAGCAAAAAAAAGTCAAAAAGAATTAAGCACTCTAAATCTGAAACGAGTCGGATGCCCGGCTTAGAGGGTCCCACTCGCTCTTTCGGATCCGGCACGGCGTAAACGGCACGCAAGCCTGGCCAGGCTCTGCCCCAGAAAGATCGTCCTCATCCAAGCAAAGCCAAGACTTTGGCAGCTTGGGTGAAGGGAATAAACCAACTTCATGTCTTGAGAGGGGGTTTCGATTTCAAGATGCAGAGGAATCATCAGCGTGGGGTCAACAACAGGATATTGAGTTAAGCATCGTTGAATGCTTCAACTATATCTAAGATTGCAACGGTCGAACCTTAACCTAATCCTTTGGGACTTGATGGTTTAATGACACAATCCCGGGAGTGCGCTGATTTCGAAAAGTAACGTGCTCATTTACCCGCGTGGTTGGCCCAATATTTGCCCACTGCGCCGCATCCATCCCTTTGCCTCCCCGGGAAGTCTAACCAACAAAGACACAAACATCAGACGAACCGCCAGATGAACCATCGGGTGAAGTGGCGAACCACCAAAAGAACCACTCTAGAACGCCGCCAAGGAAATGAAGGAGGAGAAACCAAATGAAGGGAGAGCAGGCAATATCCCGGTAACACCACCAGATCGTGCTTCGTGTGTCCACAAACAAGCAATTCTGCCCCTCACGTCACCTCCCACGGGGGCCAAACCGGTGCGAGAGGGCGATGGGGCGATTCAGCGGATGCGGTGGCCCCACGAATCCCATCCACATAGCAGGGATCTCGACCTTCACCGTTCCGGCCAGTCGGCACCATGATCAGTCTAGGTTGCACTGGGACGGTAATCTCAACTCCAGGAGTAACACAAATATAAGACCTCGAGCCAGACTTGCTATCTCGGAGAAAGAATACCGCTGTTCGTTGCATCCTACCAAGTTTCTTCTTCTCCCTCGTTCAGGGCCTTACACTCTTTTGCATCACCACGTTCATTCACAAACTTTAGTCACTCTTTTTCAGACTTCGACACACACACTCTCTTTTTACCCTGAATCTGGAATTCATCATGAAGGGACTCATTCTCAGCACCGCTCTCGTCAGCGGAGCCATGGCCGCGGCCGGCCCCTACATGCCCTGCGGCGGCAAGGGATTCACCGGCGAGACGACCTGCGTGTCCGGTTACACGTGCACAGTCCAGAACGAATACTACAGCCAGTGCGTCCAAGGAAGCGCCGCCGGCGCCGTCAGCGCCCAGGCCCAGGCCACCACCCTGAGGACATCGACGAGACGGTCTTGTAAGTCCAAACCGGCTTACGCCAGCGACGTCGCGCCGCATGTGCCCACGACGACTAGCTCGCCTTCTTCGATCTCGGCCCCCGCCGTCGTTTCCGTGTCATCATCCGCGAAGCCCGTTGACACCAAGCCAGCTTCGTCGATGTCTACTCACGCCGCCTCGATCGTCATCCCCGTCAAGTCTTCGAGTGCCCCCGTCAAGTCTTCGGCTACTTCTGCCAAGCCCTCTGCTGCTGAGGTGAAGCCTACCACCACTGCTGCTAAGCCCTCAACTACCTCGGCTGCTCCCGTCACCACGAAGGCTTCTTCGTCCTCCAAGGCTGCCGCCCCTACTTCTGCGTCCGCCCCCGCCGCGTCCGCTTCATCGACTCCTGTCAAGAGCGGAAAGTTCAAATGGTTCGGTATCAACCAGTCCGGCGCCGAGTTCGGTCCCGGCTCCCTTCCCGGCACCGTCGGCAAGGACTACGTCTTCCCTGACGCCAACTCCATCACTGTGAGTAACGACAACTTGCAGAGATAATGGGCCCAACCATTGACTGACATGTGCTAGACCCTCCTGAAGGATGGATACACGACCTTCCGTGTCAGCTACCTCATGGAACGTCTCGTTCCCAGCGGCCTCACCGGCACATTCGACGCCGCCTACCTCGCCGGCCTGACCAAGGCGATTGAGCAAATCACCTCCGCCGGCGGCTACGCCGTCCTCGACGCCCACAACTACGGCCGCTTCCAGAACAACATCATCACTGACACCGCCGCCTTTAAGACTTACTTCACCAACCTGGCCACGCAGTTCAAGTCCAACGCCAACGTCGTGTTCGACACCAACAACGAGTACAACTCCATGGACCAGGACCTCGTCCTCAAGCTCAACCAGGCCGCCATCGACGGTATCCGCGCCACCGGCTCCGAGAACTGGATCTGGGCCGAGGGTAACTCCTGGACCGGCGCCCACAGCTGGACGAGCGTCAACGACAACATGAAGGGCCTGACGGATCCTCTCGACAAGACTGTCTACGAGATGCACCAGTACCTTGACAGCGACAGCAGCGGTACCTCTGCCGACTGCGTCTCCGCCACCATCGGAGTCGAGCGTGTCAAGGACGCCACCGCGTGGCTCCGCACCAACAAGAAGGTCGGTGTTCTCGGCGAGTTCGCCGGCGGCGCCAACGCCCAGTGCAAGGAGGCCGTCGCCGGTCTGCTCGACTACCTCCAGGAGAACAGCGACGTGTGGCAGGGAGCCGCGTTCTGGGCCGCTGGATCGATGTGGGGCTCTTACATTTTCTCTTTCGAGCCCGAGACGGGCACTGGATACAACTACTACAACGAGTTGTTGAAGACATACCAGTAAAGGATCGGGCAGAACCGCAAGGGCCCAAGGCGGCTAGATTAACTCTGGGAAAAGTTGATTTAATTTCTTGTATATAAAGTAGAAACTTCTCAGGATATTCCAGGGACGCTTGGCTGAGGCCGTGATTGGCATCTCGAGATGTCGTGATGGCTTCATTTATGCACTCAAGGGCTAGGTCCCGTCACCTGATCTCATAACATAGTCGCAGCGCTAAACCATTGAGACGCCCGCGCAGCTAACCATTTTCAATTCTTGTATTGACAAATTCACTTCATTTCGCCTTCGCTCACTGCTCCCTTTTCTTTGGTACGCACCAATCGTGACTGATCTGCAAGTCTGATGTCCACGTGCTCTTACTCTGTCTCATTGGACTGTACGACGATTTGCTGCCCGACGTGAGTTCACTTTCCATGCTTTTGATGAGTGTGCTGAAACTCTTGCTGAGATCAGTCAAAATACCAAAGTCCCACATGATGGCACATGTCATTTTTCCTTGAGCTAACGGGCGTTTAGAAATCCCCATGCAGGTACAGCCTTACAACCGACCAACGACATCTCTTGGCCAAGACACAAACCAACAGAGTGCCCGACAAAAGCTAAGGTCCCGACAGGTCTTACAGGCTGGGGGCCGGGTGCAACGTGTCGCGATTGTCCAACGATCAGGTTAGGTGCCACCTCGGGGGCTGAAAACGGGTGTGCTGCCTGCTGGCGGCTGAGGATCCCTGTCGAAGGCTCTAGAAACTAACCGTAAGCAATGTCGTGGTCCGAATCCCTTCAAAGTTTGGGTCAGGCAGGTTAGGCAACAGGCCACCACTAACGGTGGCACAGCTTCGGATCGCGAGTATAAATGCTAGATGATACTTCTGCCAGAACTTACTATTGCCAGCTCGTGTCTTATGAAACCTAACAATCCTCACGCTCGTTGAAATCACACACAAAAAGTCGTTCGCTCAGATCCAAAGGGGTTGAGACCAGAAGACAAATTACCGCAAACAACTCACTTGATCATCTTATCGACAGGAAGATGGTGTCTTTTAAAGTCGACGGAACCCCGGTGGACGATCCGCCGTTCAAAGGCCCGAGACCGGCCCCACAGTCGGGACCCTCTACGGCCTGGTCCGGCCCACCGGGCAAGGCCAGTATTCTCACCCGCCAATTCGCCGCCCTCCCCCTCATTGCACTTCTCTACACCGCCGCCGTACCATTCACGCCGGTGGTATGGGTCCTCAACATTGACGGAAGCTCCCTCTTCGACCGCCTCTTCGCTGGCATCATCATGCTGTCGGCCTGTTACTTCCAGTGGCGCATCGCGGGGCTGACCTCGCCTCTCGCCGTCTTTCTTCCCGGCCCCAGCAACACGACCATTCGCAACGGACGTATAGAAACTGGTTCGAGTATGGGATTTGTGTGGCACCCTAGCAACTACTGGCCCTATGTCATCTGTGAGGCGATGCTCCTGGGCGTTGCCGAGTTTGGCGGAAACGAGTTGGTGAGACGAGGCATCGTTTGCGGCATCATTGCTGGATTGTGGCTGGTTGGGTATCACGCAACTCCCGAGTCTACTAGACGGTGGGCTTATGAGAATGTCAAGGGTTGGCTCTTCTGGATGGTTTTGGATGAGATGATGCGTATTGGGGGTAGGAGTTACAGCGGACGTCGGCGGAGATGAGCAACGCTTCCCATCTCAAGTACCATCAGTCGCCTGTCAACTTATGGAGTATAATTCTCTGTACATCATTTACCGCGAGATATCTTAGTTTACCTACATCTACAATACTATGAAAAGGATATCATTCGAAGACCTTTCAGACAACAAAGAGTGATAGGTAATCATTTTGTGGCTCACTTGGCGGAAAAGTACCAAAAACCACAATGCACGTATCCAGAGTTGTAACTACAGGTGTGTTGGAAGGGCAGTGATGCAGATATGGGGGCTCGCTTTCGGGTGCTTACATCAGCTGGCTGGGTCGCATCCGTGCCGAAATTGAGGACCTGCATGTCGGCTTACCCCGCCACCTAAATCCGATTACCCCAACCGGGCCGTGGCGGTTCCTGGATTTCATCTCGTAAAACCCCCACACCCATTAATCGATTGCAGTTACGGAGTACTCCGTACGAACCATCTTACAACTTCCCATTGAGGTTGTTCAACCAAGCAATTTGGTCGCCTTGACTCTCGCGTTCGAAAAGCTTGCGTCTGAGATATTGTCGTATTAAATCATTAGGCGCAACCGAGCATCCCGAAAGTCACCCGGCAAGAGCCCCATGTGGTTACTGATCAGCGCGTCCAAGTGGACATGGACTCTTTCCTGAAGCAGCAGGTGCCATTGCACAAGGGCATCGACGAGATTAAGACGTCTTGGCAAACTACAAGTCACTCTTTCTCTCGTAAAGAGCCAAACAATACATCAATGAAGGTCCGCAATGAGATAACGTTGGGGCGGGGGAGGGACGTTCATGAGGTCAGAGATGCAAGGTCGGTACTACCTCAATTACCGCGTCACGTCTGCTGTCCAGGTACTTATCTATCGCCAGTCTTCTCCGTCGCCGGCTCCCTTCTCTTGCCTTGCTGGTTTCCGTGAGCATCTGCTGGTGGCTGGTTCGAACGTCACCGCTCAACTTTCATTCCATCTTGGGCGACATGCAGTTTCGCGATGGCAACAGTGGCTTCCAGGCCGTGCTGGGAGCCACCCTCGGTGCCTTCATCGCCGGCCCAGTTGCTGCGGCGTCGGACAGCCCGTATACGCCTTTTGTTCCGATTGATCCCCAGGACTGGGTCAATCCGGACAACATGACATGGGGTGATTTCATTCCACCGCCAGGCACGAACTGGTCGGACCCGGCGCGCAAGGGGTCAAGCCGCAACTTCAACATCGCCCTTGTCGTCGTCGACTACCCCGATAGACCGTTCGTCATCACCCAGCCGGCGCACTCGACCATCTTCAACAACCCCCAACCTGCAGGTGCTGACATTCCCCGGGAGAACGTTCCAACTTTCTACCGCGACCTCCTCAATACGCCGAATGAGCTGAATAATGGGCACACTCTCCACGAGTACTGGATGGAGGACTCGGTCGGCCGCTTCGGAGTCGATCTGACCGCCTTTGGTGCTTACCAGCTCTCTGGCAACGGTTACCAGTATGGGATTGATGGCGGCTTTAACCCAGGTGCCTGTCCCGAGGGAGAGACTTGCGATCTGAACATTCGCACCGATGCGCTCGCCGCTTGGCGCGCCGAGGTCGGAAACGCTACCGCCGATGCCTTTGAGCTGGTCTTCATCCTCTCTGCCGGTCAAGATGAATCCTCAACATGGCAAGAGTTTGGCGAGATGAAGTTCAATGGTCCCGAAGACGTACCGGACGAATTCGGCCCAGCGAAAAAGGGCAATAGCTCGCAGAGCAACTATGCGCGCACACGTTACGTTCCTTGGACCTCTTGGGCGGCGGCATCGACACTCTGGCCCAACGCCGGCGGTGGCTCGTCTACTCAAGGCGAGAGCTCAGGCATGGCTGTCTACGCCCACGAGCTGAGCCACTTGCTCGATATCGGCGATAACTACAATAACCCGTACGGTCTACCCCTGCGCAGAGCATACACCGGACCGTGGTCCATGATGTCGCGCGGCTCTTTCAACGGTCCCGGCGGTCCCCATACCCGTTGGCAGATCCCGGCGCTGCAGGGTGCGTCGATGGGCTCGTTGCATACTTTGCGCGACAAGTTCCAGCTCGGACTGATTGACAAGACTGATATCCTGTGGCTGTCTCGCGAAGGGCTGGCAACCTCTGGAGTTGCTGTTGCCAACCTGGTTGCTCGGTCCGTCGATCCGGGCGATGGATTGATGGGCGTCCGCATTATTATGGACGGCGACCGATCCCCGGCATGCAACATCACGACCGAAGTGCTCTGCGACGGCGGTAGCTGGGACAACTACGACATTGAAGTCGTGGACCGCATGGGGTCAGACTCTTTCCAGCCGGACTCGGGCGTCTTGCTCAGCAAGTCCAAGAATGTCGACAATCAGCCATTCCAGTGGGTCATCGATGCGAACCCGGAGGACATTGAGCTCGTCGACTTTTACCGGCCCAACGGCTCCGTGGCAATGATTACTCTCGGCGACTACCGCCAACTTGCGGACGCGCTCTTCCATGCAGGCACGAACTCGGGCAGCGAATTCGAATTCATCGACGTGCCAAACAGTTTGCATTTCTACATCGTCGACCGTCACCGCGATGACGAGCGCATCCTCTCATACACTGTCGCCATCCGCTCCCTGACGGGCGAAGGCGGCGCGAGCACCCACGACGTCTCGCTGGAGAATGGCGCCGTGACGGGCGCCAAGAACGGCACGGCTACTACCCAGGGCGTTACGTGCTCGTTCCAGCTGACCAACAGCGGCACCTACGTCGCCATCGACCCCGATGCGGCCCAGCACCCCGAGGATGTCTCCGCCTTCCTGGGTTCAGACGTCTACAGGCTGAGCGCCGAAGTTGAGGGTACCGGTTGGCGGGTGGATTTGCCCAATGCTCTTATCACGGCCAAATTCGGCGAGATCAAGACGGCATACGTTTCGGTTGGCGCCGCGTCCGACGCGGCGAGTACGGCGGTGGTGACGCTCAAGGCGACGTCGGAGTCCGATCCGTCTGTGGCGGCGACGGCGCAATGCCAAGTGACCAAGTCATGAGGCTTTGACTTACGGAGTGGAAAACACATATACCGGCATGCTTACCTCGTCGAACATCGTCAATCGATTACGTACTTAAGTACCTAATAAGTCTTTTTCAAAGCTTCTCGTTCTCCTGCATGATCGAGGCCCGCCAACGTGGGGTTTCTGCCGTGACTCGATGCAATGTAGTCCCGCTGCGGGGCCGCTTAGGGCTAATGAGCCCGTTCCCACGCCCGAATCTTCATCAAATCATCACGATCAATCGCCCAGATCGTCTAGTTGGTTAGGATGATACGTTGTGGTTCTTCTATACAGCGATCCGTGTTGACGGCGGTTCGAATCCGCCTCTGGGCATTGAAATCTTTTGCCGTTTGGTGATGTTGCGATGGCTGCTTTTTGTAGATTTTGCCGACAGGCTGGGTGTTGGAGGGGAATAGTTGGAGATCGTGTGAAACCTCGTGTGTGGTAAGCGGGTCCCTAACAATAACGAGAACGCTGCTGCTAGACGTAGTCTCTTTGTGGTCGATTGGATGACAAGAAGTTTGTATAAAACCAGTAAGTAGAGCTTTATCGACTTGTTCCGCCTATGCAGGCATACAGGTATCAAGTAGTGTATTGTATGTGCAGTAAGGTAGTTGGTTGAAATATTGGAAATGTCATTTGGGTCCCGCGTCCCTAAGTGCCCCTCATTGTACGTACCTATTCCTTCTCGATACAGCAGTCCATTTGCCGCGGAATCAATAGGTAATAGGTCTCATGACGTGCGCAACCTCCAAACTGGCACCATCCCCGCTGCCCCCGGGTCCGGCCCCGGCAGCGGACCTGTTCACCGCGAACCCTGAAGCTTTCGGACGTCATTGCCAGCCCGGGGAGTATGTCAAGTCAATCTTACTGAATTCACGAAACCCGACTGACTTGACTTCAGAGCCGGGTCTAAGCAACTGAGCTCTCGCTGGTATCAAGCGCACCATGCCACCCACGGGGAGCTTCAGCGAAATACCCACACTAGACCTCTCCCTCGCCCGAGACCCCGCAACAGAGGCGGATTTACTCGCCCATCTGCGCCACGCTCTCACCAACGTCGGCTTCTTGTACATCATCAACCACGGAGTCCCCGAAGAGGCCATTTCTGATGTCGTCGATGCACTGCCAGAGTTATTCTCGCTGCCGCCAGAAGCAAAATCCGAGATCGCGCTGAGTAATTCCCCGCACTTTCTGGGCTACAGCGGTGATGGCGCGGAGACGACGGCGGGGAAGAGTGATCGGAGGGAACAGGTCGAGTTCGCTACGGAGTTGCCGAGCGGGCTGGAGGAGGGTCTGCCGCTGAGAGAACGGCTTCGTGGGCCGAATCAGGTGAGCATACATTTCTTGGCTGTCTTTGCTGTCCCATCTCTTGGGCTGGTCTTCTGATCCGTCAATCGCAGTGGCCGTCTTCGTATCCAGCGCTGCGTCCCATTGTTGAATCGTACATATCGGAAATGACCGATTTAGGAAACCGCTTCCTCATCTTGGTAGCGAAAGCCCTTTCCCTCCCGCCAGAGACTTTCCTCTCCTATCTCTCGGATCAACACCGCCTGAAACTAGTTCACTACCCCGGCCTCCCGGAAGACGAAGCAGGCGGCCAAGGCGTAGGTCCGCACAAGGACTCGTCCGGGTGGTGGACCTTCCTCCTCCAAGCCTCGCCGCCGCATATCAAGGGCTTGCAAGCTCTCAACAAGATGGGCGAATGGATCGATGTGCCAGTGTTACCGGGCTCCTTTGTGGTCAACATCGGCCAGGCGTTTGAGGTGGTGACGAACGGGGTGTGCAAGGCTACGACGCACCGCGTGCTGTCTGGGCATCTTGAGAGGTTCAGCGTTCCGTTTTTCCAGGGGGTGAGGAGGGATCTTACCAAGGAGGAGGCGGTGGGGTCTTTGAGGGAGCATTTCGCGAGGCCTGAGATTAGGGGGCTGGTGAGTGAGTCTGAGGAGGGGCGGGAGATTGATTCGGCGTTTTTGAAGGGCAAGTATGAGACCTGGGGGGAGAGCCAGTTGAGGACGAAGGTAAGGAGTCATAGAGATGTTGGGAGGAAGTTTTACGCGAATGTTTTTGAGAAGTATATTAATGATGATTGATGGCTTTCCCTTCCAGGCACAAAAGTAATTAGTAAAGCTTCATCATGCTTGTCGACATCTATGTAAATCCTGGTATGAGTCTAGATACCGCATATACGATGTAGCATTCACCAGACAATCTTCTCGGAGACAAGAAAATGAGACTTGAACGTTCACATGGAATTTAATGCTTCTTTTCGCTCTGTTCAACAATTCTTCATCTACCTCGAGGTTGTTTCAGTCGTAATACTTAGCCTTCACCCCTCTTACGATTTCCTGCTCAGAGACCTCGCTTCTTGCTTGGCTACGGTTTACTCCCGCCCTAACACGAGCCTTCACCCATTCACCCGCCGTGATCCCAGCCACAGCCGCATTCTCGTTCGAACTGTAGCCCAGCCTGTCGAGAACCTTGCTTTGAACCGGCCTCAGCTCGAGACTATCTTCAGGCCGTACGAAATACAGTACACCTAGACGGTCAATCCCCGCCTGATCTGGGGGAGGGGCGACGACGCGATGAATGCTGCTTTTTAGGAACCCATTACTCAAGAATTCTAGCGCGTCGGCCACGTTCACAGTGATGCTACCGTCGTATGGTTTGACCCTGTTTTCTGTCAATATAGTTGCCGCAAGGAGCATCAATGGCGAATGAAAATTCAACATACCACTTCCAGTAGCCATCTTTACCTCTGACCTGGAGAGCTGCAACGGGCTGCCTGAACAGCAGGGTCAGACTCCCAAAGTCAGTGTGGCCTTTAACCCAAACGTTCTCCAGTCTCTCGTTGGTCTCTGCGTCTCGCGCATGATACTTCATGTATCTCAAATGACAGTCTGACAGTGACTCATCATAGCGATGGCGGGCAGCGAAGTGGTCTTCTGGTAGCTCGAGTATGATTGCAAACAGAACAAGAAGCTTTTTCACAATGTCATTGTGGATGTGACGTGCGAAGTCTTCAATGTCTGCTCTATTTTTGTCAATCACCTCAGGTTGTGGGCGCTCGTAGGCAGGGATGAACTTTGGGATGTTGAAAATCTCGGTGTTGTCAAAGATTCCGGGCCGGATTTCCTGTATCGCGAGATTCAGCATGAGGAGGGTGATGAGAACCATTTCCATAACAGCGATGCGAACACTGACTCTTAGGCCAAGCGGTTTGTAGCCATTATAACCGCCATTTTCTAGGTCGGCACGATACTTGAGCTTTTCTTCGGTAGGTAGTTCGAAGACAGACTTTCCAATTGCAAATTGGCGGTCTACCTCTTCTTGACTCAGACCAAAACTGATAATGTAGAAGAATCCAATGGTTTGGATGGCGTCAAAGAGCTGTTTCGCGAGCGCTTCTTTGCCACCCGGCTGGTCAAATTTGGAAAGATCAAGTGTAACTAAGTCTGCCCACTCAACTGTAGATATTCTCCAATAAGTTTCAAATCTAATGGCAAATATTGACTCCTCGTATGCTCACGTTCGTACTTGGTCTCTGGGACCTGATGGTATACGGGAAGAGTGGAACTCTCATAATTGTGACGCGCTGGGTTTATTTGCACTGTTGCAGCCATTGCTGAAGTCGAAGCTGGACTTTTAAGCAGGTATTGATGCTACATGTATTGACGTTGATGCAGAGGCCATCATCTAGACTTTCACAAGTTCGCAACTCCACACTACACCGGAACATTCATTATCTTATGTGCCACGAACGACGCATCTCCGCACTCGGCCTCTCTGATGTTGTTGGTGTGAGATGCCCGTATCTCGCCATCGCGGGGTATGATTGCGAATGCAAGGATCTTCGACGGACTTCGTCCGCTTACTTAGTTGAACAGCACTGTCATCAGTGAATTGCCCAATGATCATAATAGATACCCCAGTAGCCCGTCAATACCCCCCACGAAAGGATTCTCAGAAAGAGATCAAGAAGGGAAGACTTATCGCGGAAGGCTCTCCCGGGCTCAAATGCTGCTGCTTGCCTCCCCTTGGCACACTTGAGACAATCCATGCATATGTCTACATGTGGCCAGTAATGGTGCACGACACCCCCGTTATCTTCATTGCTCGCGATTTCGGGAAAGATGACATGATCGGCAGATGAATGCAGGCTCGGCTTCTTTCCGTCAGACTTTTTGGTTTCGTGTGTTACGAAGTTCTTGGCGACTAGTGAAATGTTTGACCCCGGCCCTCAATAAGTAATATTCAGCAAGCTTAACAAAACTACGCAATGCCTCTGCGTTTCGAGACTCGGAACCTTGGGTGGCTTACCAAGAGACCGAATTCCTACACATTTTCATAATGGCCGACACAAAGGATATCTCAACCAGAACGGACTCTTTGTCTGGCGGCGGTGGAGCTAGCAAAGCCGGCTTGACATTCGCTCGACGTGGTGAACAGATCGACGAATCGACCAGCGGAGATGTTTCTGGCTTTGATGCCGAGAGAATGAGAGCCAGGTCTCTGCTCACAGCTGATGAGGAGAAGAACCTCATGCGACGTGTCGACCTGAGGATCATGACAATATGCTCTCTGCTCTTCCTGATGAAGAACATCGACTCTGACAATATTTCGAATGCGAGAATCATGAACAAAGGAACACCAAGGAACATCATGACGCAGCTTAATATGACTTCTGACGAATACAACCTTTTGACGGTGTTGTACTACGTATGTCGCAGCTGCGCCCGATTTACCAAGCTTGCAGCTAACAGCTGGTTTAGGTACCCTACATCGTTTTGGAAGCGCCTTCAAATCTTTTGTTGAAGCGACTCAGACCGAGTGCTTGGCAGTCGAGGATAATGATATCTTGGGGCATCGCGCTTCTCTGCCACGTTCCCGTCACCAATAAAGGCGGCATCTATGCTACCCGATTTCTCCTTGGTGCAGTAGGTCCAGGTCTTTTGTTGGACTTATCAAAATTATCGACGTTTCTCACAATGGATAGTTCGAAGCAGGAATGTTTCCTGGAGTTATCCTTCAGATGACCTATTGGTAAGCTGTCTCCAACAACCCTGCCAGTTGACGGAATGACTAACCGCTTGACAGGTACAGACCGGACGAGATGTCTATTCGGCTACTTTACTTCTGTGAGTACTCCCTTGGCTAATTCTAATCGCCACGAGAAGTCTGACGAGCGAGGCAGACGTACTCGGGAATCTCTCCGGAATCTTCAGTGGTATCCTCGCATTTGCCTTCGATACTGTTTCTGGATCAAGAGGATTGTCAGGGTGGCAATGGTAAGACATCGTTCATTGTGAGCTTTCTGAATGCTGACAGCAGAATCACACAGGCTATTTCTCGTGGAAGGACTCATAACTCTCGTTTTAGGCACTGCGGTTTACTTTATCCTGCCTGACTGTAAGTTTGAATCCTCTTTCACCTGATACCGAATGCTGCGATTCTAACAATGGTTTGTTCTAGTCCCCCCCACTGCGAAGTGGCTGAGTGAAAAGGAGAAAGCATTCATCCAAGCACGGCTTCCACCCAATGCCCCAAGAGCTGAAGAGATGAACTTTAACTTTAGTGAGATTGTAGACTCTCTTAAAGATCGACGTCTGTGGCTCTTCACTCTCATCTGGGCCACGTTCACTGTCGGTACATCTGGTGTCCGTTTTTACCAGCCAACAGTCATCGCGAATCTTGGGTTTACAACTATAGCCCGAGCTCAGTTACTCAACCTCCCGATCTCGCTCTTGTCCATCTTCGTCATCGGAGTAACGGGCTTTTTCGCTGATAAAGGAACTGTACCTCGACCTCTCTACCCCTTGGGCGTTTTTGCAGTCGTCATTGCCTGTTACGGAGTGTTAGTCGCCTACCCTTCTAACGGCGCCGTGTATGCGGCGACGCTTGTGGGCAACGCCTTCACGTCCGCCTTCTTCCCTCTCATGTGGCCTTGGCGCGTGCAGACAACGTCACGAGCCACAGGGTCAGCCTTCAGCATCGGGTTTGTCAACAGTTACGGTCAAATTGGAGGTGCTATTGGCCCTCAAATCTTCAGATCAAAGTACGCACCCCGGTATCAGACAAGTTTTGCAGCAGCCATGGCTTTGGTTGGATGCTGTGCCATTGTCACGCTGGTTACCTGGTGGGCTACGAGAAAGACGGAGTCCGACACTCGGCGTCTGAAAAGAGCACGAGTTCGTGCCGAGAGGGATGGCCTGGCTGTGTTGAATGATGTCGTGGACCAGGATCTGAACAAAAAGCGTTCCGATGGCGAAGAAAGCGCCTGAGGTAGCGCTGGCACTATGAACTGAGGGAGCTTTGAAAAGCCGTCTGAAGCAATAGTGAGTCGCTGGCCGAAGGACGCTTACATCAATTTAGCTGGTAGCGGATGTGTTATAATGGCTTTAACTATCCGTAGCCTTACCATATGTTACGTGACCTCGGTATTACGGCCAGCTAGTCGTAGTAAGTATATTAGTAAAAGTTAAAGCTACAATAACTAAATAAATAATATCGTAGTCGTAGATAGCTTCCTCAAAGCTATATTTATAAATCATAAAATAAATAAGGCTTCGGTAATTAATTATAATCTTATTAAAAAAGGTTCTTAATAAAAATAACTAAAAACGATCATAAAATTTAATATTAAATTAATTACTAAAAGAATAAAAAAGTCTACCCTTAAACAACTCGAGTTTATTTTATATATAAGTCCTATATACTATCTAAATAGTTCTTTTATAACTAGGACTAATATCGTAATATTAGTCCTATAAGGATAAACTACCCTATTTTATCAATCCTATTTATAAACTACTTATTATTCGTCAGTCCTTTTTATTATTACGTAACTTATTTATAATTCTTTTATTCTATTAAAATAACTCCTATATTAGTATTTTTATATATATATAGTATATTATAACTACTATATTATGGGTAGGCCCTAGTCTTAGTTATATATATTAAGTCGTAATATTAAGTCTTTTTTAAAATCTAGTTCCGTAAACCTATAAATAAGTATCCGTAGCCTAGGTTAGGCTAGTTAAGTTATTTTTATTTATTTTTATAATACTAATACTATATTAAGTTACGTAAA